TTTCAAGAAAGCTACCTCACCCTGTCTTAGACAGTGGCTCAAATTTCAGAAAAACTAGCCAATGATAGAAAACAAAGGAAACAGACACTGGAATATGCTCTTAAGATATCAGAGATAAACTTGATCGATAATCCATCTTCCGTGCTCTACAGAGATATATTCGAAAAGTGAAAGAAAAAATGGCGATATGGAGATGGTGGGAGCTGAAAAGCCTGCAATTGAGAGCAAGGATAAATGAATACAAACTAAGCGAGTCAATGTCCAAACACTTCTTTGCAAGAATAAAAACCAATGCAAAGACCAATTCAATAAGAACTGAAGACTCTGACAACATCACATGAATAACCACAGACAGCGTAAGAATGTTGAACATAGCAAATGAAGTATACGAGGACCTCTACCACACAAAGACCCTCACACCTACCCCTCCGAGCAATAGAGAGGCACGAAACAGGATGTTACAGTAATTAAAAAAAACGATCTCACCAGAACGAGCACAATCTCTTGATAGATCGATCACAATAGAGGAACTACAAGTCACAGTTCAAAGCATGAATAACAATAAATCACCAGACATAGATGGACTGACGAAAAAATTCTGGGAAAAGTTATGGCCACTCTTAGGGTGTGATCTGCTGAATTTTTACAATGACAGTTGGTCTAAGGGCCGTTTAGGAAGCCTGATGAGTAGTAGTGTAGTTATGCTGCTGTACAAGAAAGGGGAGAAGGAGGACATCAAAAATTACAGACCAATCTTGCTGCTAACTCTCCCTTACAAGATTCTGGCCAAAGCTCTAGCTTTTCGAATCTTAGATCTGACAGACAAATGCTTCCACATTGACCCAACAGTCAGGGTCTTTGGTCAGGATTTCCCAAAAAAACAGGGACAAAACTAAAACCTGTGCAGCAGACTGGGACTAAATGAAAATTCCCAGGAAAAGCATGGGCAAGGCTGAAATTTGTGCAAAGGACTGAGACTTGACTAAAATTTCTACACAAAACAGGGTCAAAACTAAAATTTGTGCAGCAGACTGGGACTCTATCAAACTTTCTAGGAAAAGCAGGGGCAAAACTGCACTTTCCACAGTACATCGGGACCTCATCAACATTCCCAGAGCAGCGGGGGCCGAAACTGAGACAATCTCAGACCTTCGCTATGGAGTCTGGAATTTGTGGACATAAGCATGAAGTGTAAGGAATGGGAACAATCAGGTCATAGTCCTTGTTGACGTTTCAGCAAATACGCCAATTCATCCCTTTACTGCCTGAACCGAAAACCGGTTTCGTGATCGGAATGGGAACAAACAGGTCATAGTCCTTGTTGACGTTGCAGCAAATACGCCAATTCATCCCTTTACTGCCTGAACCGAAAACCAGTTTCGTGATCAAGAAATTCTTCATGTACTGGGTATCAGAACATGGGCATCCGTTAACTATCGCTAGTGATAGGGACTCTCGATACACAAGGGAGATGTGGCGGAAGTTGGAGTTCCATGGTACAAAGCTATACATCTTGCCGGGTAGGCAAACTGAGATGAACTGTCAGACTACGTACATGAACAAACTCATGCAGGATGTACATCAGGCCAGATCAGATCAATTGGGACGAAATGTTACCCAAGATAGCCAGTGCTTACCATAACTTGTTCCATCTAACCACTGAATCCGAGGGAGCTGCGAAGACATCTAGATTTCCTCAGCCTTGACCAACTTTACAGACTCCCGCCAGGAACTAGGGAGTTTGCACAGTGTCCAGTGGTGGGTGAGAACACTAGGCATAGAAGACCATTGCCATTTGCCATTGGCGACTTAGTTCAGGTGAAGTCTAAAGAGTTCACATCCGAGGAATGAATCTCTCAGTAACTGTTACCAGCATATTTGGGCCCATGGGACTGTTGACGTCATGGGACCTGATGATGGTCCATCATCTGGCACTGATGCACCACCTCATCGTCATACATCTCCCGTCTTTCACGCTTCTAAGCTACTGCAGTCAGTTTCCCTCACTTTGATCGATTATACCAGATGATATGGATGGGGCATGTGATATAGACAGGATCCGAGAGCATGACACCTTCAGAACAGGTGCGAGAGGGCAACCTCAGAAGCAGTATAAGAAGCGGTTTCCCTTTTAGGAGCCAGAAGATGGAAATAAACAGCTCCTTAAATTGTGGCTAGCTATGAGAATAAGCCGAAGCTCCACAAGTGGTTAACAGGGACCCCCACTTTCAGCTCCTGACTAACGCAGTCTAACGGGTCCAAAACTGAAATTACTAATTAGTGTTTGGGGGTCAAATTTTATGTTTTTTTTTTTTTTTTTGCCTGTTTTTGTTTTGGTTCAAGGTTGCCGTGTGCCAGATTTGGTATCATTTGGAGCATTTGAGATTTCTGTTTTTTTTTTTTTTTTTCAAAGGGKGGTGGGCAGGCCTCAGAGGTGCCCGTAGTTCTCATCCATTGGGAGGTCAGAGGGATTGTGAGGACCCAGGGGGAGTCACCTCAGGATGGCACCGTTGTACCATGACCTATGCTAATGCTCATATCGCAAATCATGATCTGCGCCAATGCTTACCGGACTAACCTGAACGTCTTTGTGCGGACATTACCCTAACTCTAATGTGAAGGACGACCCGGGCACAGGTGGGGCTCATGCATATGCAGTCATTCCCCATCTGTGCCTCATCCCACAGACTCTATGGGCAGTGAACTGCCCTTCCACTAACGTGTGATATCCTGCCCTCCCCTATCCTAAGCATGATGCCTTCGTACCCCAGGCTCCCCAAGAATCCACAGTCCCGACTAATTCCCCCAGTGAGAATTCCCACGGACCCCAACCTGGATGAAGCACCACCCGCAGGCATCATGAGATACCTGTGGGATGAGAAGTACCCAGTACCTACCCCATGCTAACACCCCATGTGTGCGTAGGATTATCCCCCCCGAGATGGGACCTACCGTAGTCTAAGTTCTCTCTGTGTGGACTCAACTAAGGGTGCCATAGTGACAGGAAACATGCTAGCTGTACCCAGGCTCGACCATGGCACCCCCACGGACTAGTACATACTGGCGAGACTGACAGATCGGAGGGTCCAACTGGCCACACAGAGGTATCAACGGTTTCGACAGTCTAGGCAGTTTTTCGGTTATCGACAGTCTAGGCTGTAAACCCTACCCTACCCTACCCTATCCCTCCTCCCCCCCCCGGGCCAAGGTCGAGCCAAGATAAGACCCTGATCCTCAGACCCCCTAAGGCCAAGCACTCAAGCAACCCTCCCTATGGCCCTATCCAGCATACGACAACCATGGACCTAGACCCCTTGGGTGGTGCGCAGGCAGTATCTGTATAAATCTTACCATGCGTCGTCCCAACGGGTGTGTGTGAATGGCTTGTGTGTTATGAAAGCGCTTACCTGTGTACGTGCGCGAGGCAACAGAGTTTTGAACCCACAACCTCATGCTACAATGCGCAACGGCCATTCACAAAATTTCTGAAATTTGTCAAGATTTTTTTCTTTTTTTCTTTTTTTGCTAATCTTCTCTGTATCGTTCCAATTTTATGGTTTTAAGTTTTAATGGATCTCCGGATTTCTGAAATTGGAATGTTGGCGAAATTTCATGAAAGTGCACTTTCGCCTTGCTGTTTTGTAGGTTTTTTTTTTCCCTTTTTTCAAGTTTTGTCTTTTTTTTTGGTGCAATTGGTTAGTATGGTCTCCACTCTATGAATTGGTGGCAAGTTTGGTTAAAATGACCCTTGGGGCCTGTAGTAGATTGTCTGTGCCTGGCGTCCGAAGTTCCCGTTCGACAAGGCTCGTCCAATTTCGCTTCCACCAGGGCTGGGCAAACTATCAGCCCTGGTGCCTATCACTGCTGTCGGTCCAAGTTACCTGCCCATTGGTATTGACGTGAGGATGGGATGGGAGGTGGTCTTATATTCCAGGACACCCACGGCCTACTGCTCCAAATGATCACTGTGCACTCAGTGACTGGCCTCTACAACACCTTGGGTTTTGTTATAAATTGCACGACAAGTTGTCTGAAATTTTGGGCCTCTGTTATCCGCCTCTCCTCAAGCCGAAGGAGGTTACATTGTAGACCAGGAAGAAGAATAACTTTCAGCGGTGAACCTTGTGCAAGGAAAATGAGCGATAGCGAAATCCAGAAACGAAGCAGCATCACACATATGAAACTGGTAGTCTTGACCTCGAACCAAAAGCAGAATTGCAACTCGAATTTCACCAAATAAGAGCACAGCAGAGCTCACGAATGACAATGTTGGAATAGTCTCTTCATCATCACCAAGGAACCAATGTCGTCCCTCTATCTGGCGCTACAGATGGCGATCCTGTCTAGCCTATCTACAATGCCCCCGGTGACATCAACAGTTTTACGAAGTACGAGCAGATCTCGGCCAATGCTATTCGCATCAAGCACCAGGTATGTCCCTCGCTTCACTCACAACCTCGATCCTCCACATGCCACATGCACCCGAAGACCACCATGTGCCCCATCCAGCAACGTGCAGGCCAGCCCGGCTATCACCCTGCTCGCCTGTGACCGCGTAGGTACTCGCTTCAGCAGCGGGCGCAGCAGCGCTTGCGCATAAGCAGCTAGTGCCCGAATGTTTGGCCAGCGGCCAGGCCCTTTCCTTTGCGGAAAGTGGCTAGCAGTCATGGGCTGCCTGACTGGTCTGGGCCTCTCCCCGGAAGCTTCTGGTAGAGTGGCTGAGCGTCTGTGCCAGGGAATCTTCCACAGGGCCTGGGGAGGTTACCCGTGTCCAACTGCCCAACGGCCTGTGTTCAGTTCATGCCCTGTGTCTGGCCCAGGGCCTGCCTCCGATTCATTCGGAATAAGGCCTGAAGGCCCGTAATGTCGGTAGGCAGCCAGGGCTCACTCAACCAACCGGTGCTGCGTAACTGTCTGAATTTTCCCCCAGTTGGAACCAATGCAAAAATAGGTCTTTCGTCACTTGGCAGGCTCACCTTCACTTAGGGCGGCCATGCATGCTGGAAACAGGGCCCCGGTAGGGCTTGCCGAGGCTTAGGGCCTCGCATTCCCTCCTCCATACTTCGATAGTCCTCTGAGAAGTTCAATCAATCTGGCGCTTTCCCTTCTGCAATGACTTCTCATAATGAGAGACAATCTGTGAGGCGGTCTGCATCAGTTCCTCTCTTGTAAACCATCGGTCCTCTTTCGGATCTGTGTGATGTCTGAAACGTATACGGAACTGCAACTTCGGCTTCGGAGGTCGACCCCTGCCAGTTGGTCTCGGCATCGGCATTTCCTTGTGATCCACAATGCTGTTGATATCAACTTCTTCATCCATGGTTGGAGGCAGCATAGACCGACGAGAGGGAAACTGGTCAGTTCCCTTGAAAGGTGCAAGTTTGGAGGCGTGAAAAACAGGATAGGTGCGAAGGTGACCAGGGATCTGTATCACATAGGAAGTCCCATCGGGATCATCTCCGACAACATCTAGAACCTCCCATGGTCTGAAGTACTGTGGCATGAGTTTATGAGAGATTCCGTGCTCTTGCCCGAGTTTGGATGCCTTCACCCAGACTCTATCCCCAACCTGAAATGCAGACGGACGACGGTGTTTGTTCTCCGACTCTATCATCGCTGCCTGTGCTTTGTGCATGTTATCCACTGCTTGCTGAATAAGACCCTCATAACAGTAAGCAAGTTCGAGTGTACCGGGCGCAGCAATGGACTGGTTCTTAGGTAGTAAGAAATCTAGAGGCAGTTGTTACATGCTGAGAGCCTACACACGGGCCCCTCACGGGACCCGAGGTTGGAATAGGGCCCCCAGGTCGTGTCACCGCAACCTGAAGGCCCTATGGCATTTTTACTTGGGCCTGCATCAGAAAAACGCCAGCTTTAGATTATTTTTATATTCTTTTATTTATTTATCGCTGCTGTTTTTCTAACGTGTGTGCTGTTGTCCGTTTTGTGGCCAGGTACACGTTTTAGGGCCAGGGCCAGATTCAGGCCCAGAGGCTGAGCCTCTAAAAATGTTTGGACCTTTTGTTTGTTTTCGGACAGATTTTGGACCATTCGGACCTGGACCGATGTGCAGGCCCGATGCATTCGCACAGGCCCTGAATCGCACCAGGTACCGAACAGGCCCAGTCCTGGGCAGGGCCTGGACGTCCGGTAGGGACCCAGGCAGGCCGTTTTAGGCCAAGGCCTGAACCAAGTCCGAAGCCTGCAATCTGGACCGTGGATCGGAATTCGATCTGCACGGTCCAGAACGAAGGTCGTGGACTCACTGGGTCCGGCCCAGCGCTACTTAAGCTGGCCCAGCGCCCAGTTCTGGACAGAAGCTACCAGGAGAAATCCAGCGTTACGCTGGTTCAGGATTCGGCCTGCTGCGCTATTTTGGAGACTACCTGCTGCGCTATTTTGAGACCGCCGGCTGCGCTGTTCTTCGGAAATGTGGCACAGCGCTGGAGGAGTCCAGCGCCGAGGAGTCCAGCGCCGAGGAGTCCAGCGCCGAGGAGGT